TCAGGGTCGCACCCCCAGCGGCTCCCCGCAGACTCCCAGCCAGCATCCCCGCGGCCGCGCCATCCAACACCCCGCCAAGGCCGTGCCTGCTGTGCTTCCATGGTGCTGCTGCGTCGTCCGCCTTCACTGGTAGCCAACGAATGTGACATCACATTCGTTTGAACGTGAAAACTACGATGTCAGATTGAACGTGACAAACAGAGAAAATTCATACTCAAACGATTGTGACACGCCGCACCGCTTTGTCACATTACTTCGGCTGTGACACGAAATCAGCAGGTAAACTGTCACATTAAAACGAATGTGACACATGGTACCCATTGACATACATCGTGTCACATCCAAACGAATGTGACACCCATGTGCTGTCACGTTCGTTTGAATGTGACATGCCCAAATTGTCACATTAAATGGAACGTGACACGCCATAACCTGACACTTATAGCGTGTCCGGGCCGTGTCACGTTCGTTTGAATGTGACAATTAGGGCATGTCACATTCAAACGAACGTGACAGCATATGGGTGTCACATTCGTTTGGATGTGACACGATGTATGTCAAAGGGGACCATGTGTCACATTCGTTTTAATGTGACAGTTTACCTGCTGATTTCGTGTCACACCCGAAGTAATGTGACAGAGCGGTGCGGTGTGTCACATTCGTTTGAGTATGAATTTTCTCTGTTTGTCACGTTCAAACTGACATCGCCGTTTTCACGTCCAAACGAATGTGATGTCACATTCGTTGGCTACCAGTGTTGGTGCCGCTCATCGCCAGCCTCGGCCTCGGGGGCCCACTCGGCCACTCGGCCACCGCCGTGGACGCGGCCCGCTCGCCGTTCGGCCGTCGGGGCTCCGTCCGTTCGGGGACACTACTCGCCACCTTTCTCCGTTTACGCTCGTCATTTTCCCCGCCCGTTTCCGGGAAGTCTTTGTCGCGGATATGGCATCTGTCAGCGCGGCGGCACGGCCCGGACGACGACGCCGACGACGGGGCCGCCAAGCGCCGCGCCAAGCACCCCGCCCGAAACCTCGACGCGGTGACCTAGTGCGGGGAAACGAAGCGCACCGCGCGCCGTGCACTTTGCACGCGCTGGGACGACGTGTGTGACACGCTCGTGACACGCTCGTGACACGCTCGTGACACGCTCGTGACACGCTCGTGACACGCTCGTGACACGCTCGTGACACGCTCGTGACACGCTCGTGACACGCTCGTGACACGCTCGTGACACGCTCGTGACAAGCTCGTGACACGCTCGTGACACGCTCGTGACAAGCTCGTGACACGCTCGTGACACGCTCGTGACACGTTCGTGACACGCTCGTGACACGCTCGTGACACGCTCGTGACACGTTCGTGACTCGCTCGGGAGTCGCTCGGGAGTCTCTCGGGACTCGCTCGGGAGTCGCTCGTGACACGGGCGTGTGTGCGGCTGGGCCAGGCTGCGCCAGGCTGGGCCTGATGACTGAGGAGAAGGAGGACGACCACCCCTGATAGTCGCGAGCCGCGGCGCTTTCTGTTCCGGAATGTCCACGCACACACACATGTCAAACACGGGCACACGGACGCACTTGTCAAACACACACTTGCACACATGCAGTCAATTAACCATGAAGCGATGACAGCGCGGCGATGCTGACCCCTTTCGGCCGCGGTCGTCGCTGTTACGACGCGGCACACTGTACTGCAGACGACGCGCCGGAGACGGAGTCGGACAAGTGTAGCAATCTCGCTGTTGAGGCCTTTCGAGCTGGAGGAGTCAGCGCCGGGGGACGTGACGCGACGCGACGCGTAGTCTACTTTACGACCCCGGTTAATCTTTGAACGGAGTTCGGCCGGCCAGGCCAAGGGCCGGGCAGGGTCGTTGGACTCAAAGTTCGGGGCCGTCTGGCCTGCCCTGCTGTCAGGGCGTTCCATCCGAGACTTCTCCAGACATCTATCTGTCTGGGGCAGGCGCAGGCAGGCGCTGCTATCTCCCGGGCTAGACGCTCTGTTGGGTGGGCGCCCGGCCCGCCCCGGCTCTAAGTGCACCTGTGTTGGCCGTGAATTCGCAGGTGAACGCACTTCGGGGACGCCTCGGCCGTGCCTCTGCCTCGGCCTCTGCCGAGCGGGAAAGGGAGACCAAACTCCCTTTCGTTGGTCATCGTCTCCGCCTGCTTCGTCTGCTTCGCCTGCTGCAATTAAAAATTCGTCACCGCCTTGCGCCGCGTCTGGAACGGCTCGGTCTCGCGGCTTTATTGGTGTCGCCAGGCTCGGCTCATTACATGCCAAGCCAGACCAACGCAGGTTCAAGGTGGGGAACGCTGTAATTAGAGGAGAAAGTGGAGATTTTCCTAGCTGCATGCTCTGCATGTCGGATTCTTTCCTTTTTTTAGCCCCGCGCTGCCTCCGCGGCTGCCGGGGGTCGAACCCGCGACCCGGGCCGCAAGAGCCGAAAGGGCCAGGCCGCTGGCCAACTGGTGTGACGGGCCCAGGGCTGCGCAGGGCTCGCATCCCGGCAGCCAAGTGAGCTGGAGTGACCCAGTTCGGACGGTTACACGCGGAGAACAAGGCCACATCCGAACCGAAACCCAGAATTTCCGGTTGCACTACCCCGAGGAGAGGATGGGGGGAAGGAGAAGACGAAGACGAAAAAATGTCGCTTCTTTTTCTCGCTGCGCTCGGCTGCTGGGGACTGCGGAGACACGCCGCCTGGATGTGGGTCCCTCGGGGTGTGGATGCTGACATGCTTCTCCTTGTCGAACGGACACGTAAGCGGCAATTCAATTGCCGGCGCGTGAGCCCGCGCGCGTGGGGGTGGCACGTGCGAGGCACGCTGACGGACGGACGGACAGACAGACAGACAGACAGACAGACAGACTGACTGACTGACTGACTGACTGACTGACTGACTGACTGACTGACTGACTGACTGACTGACTGACGACTACACTGACTACTCACTCACTCACTCACTCAAATGACTACACTGACTGACATGACTCACTCACTGACTCAATGAATGATGAATGAATGAATGAATGATGAATGAATGAATGATATATGAATGAATGAATGAATGAATGAATGGAATGAATGAATGAATGAATGAATGGAATGAAATGAATGGAAGGAATGAATGACTGACTGACAAGCAGGCAGACAGACAGACAGACAGACAGACAGACAGACAGAGGGACAGGCAGACAGCCGGCGGCGGGCAGACGGATAGAGTGTTTCCTGTCCGGCACACCACAGGCTTCGTGAGCTTCGCGGAGTCTTCGCGGACCGCAGAGGCAAATGGAGCCGTTTGGACCGCGTTGCGCCGCGTCGGCAGTTCTTTGTTCGTTACTGCGACGGCCGGAGCGGAACGACGCGTGGGCGAGGCGGGCGGGCAGACCGCGCTGGCGGACACACCGGCAGGCCGTACGCCGCACGCGCACATTTGAGGAATACGTATTTGGGCGTTTGGCCCATTTGTGCGCGTGGGCGAGCCGAGCCGTTACGAACGGTATCGCTCGCGGACCTTGTCTTCATCGTCGTCGTCATCCTGGGTTCGCCTGCAGCAGCCGCAAGGCCGCGGGGTGGCAGAGCGCGAAAGGGCCTAAATTACCGGTAATGGAACTTCAAAAAAACGGTTTTAGCTCAATTCGCTAAACAGGACTTCGGAAACGACGTTTGGCGACTTACGGATTTCATCTTTTCGAAGGACATTAAAGTGAAAAAGGGATTAACGCTTGTATCGACAGTACGACTTAAGACAAACAGTGCAGATAGGTCAGATTTGTACGATCAACCAGATTTCATTACAGAAGACCCACTAGATTCAGACGGCGAGAGTGATGACGGATGGTGCATGCCGGTCATCGCACCTCAGTGCATGCGATAGCTTCATGGGAATTTCGCGAAGCAGAGCAAATGGAGAAACATTGACCGCGTCGCGCACGCGTTTGCCGTTCTGCACGGCCGTCGTAAACAAATCGACCTAGCAGGCGGTGTATTCCCTAGGAGGCACACCTTGCGCTAGCGGGAAATCCCTAGGGACGTACAAGCCTGCAGGGCGGCATTTGAGGAATATGTATTTGGGCTATTTGAGCCCATCTTTGTAAAACACTAGGCGAAAAATGACCGTTAACCCGGTTTCGCGTGCGGAAAAATTCCTGGAAAATACGTCTATCTACGCGGTAATTACCTGGTAATTCTTACCGCCTTCGCAAGGCCGCTAGGCCAGAGCGCGAACATTGGGCCAGAAGACCGGTGTGGAGACTCAAGACGCGTTTTGAGCTCCAGAGTCGCTAAATAGACCTCGATGGGGCTCAAAACGCGTCTAGAGTTTTGGTCGCCTCCGCCGGTCTTCTGGCCCACTGTGCACCACCGCCGAGCGCCGCCGAGCGAGTCCCGGCCGATGCAAGTTTGTGTTTCGCTTTGCCATCCATTGGTGGGGTCACACGCTAGGTTCGAGTCCCACTTAGCGACTCTAGAGTACAAAACACGTCTAGAGTTTTGTCCGCCTCCACCGGTCTTCTGGCCCACTGTGGCGCGGCGAGTGTGATGGACGGCGTGGCGGCGCCGCGGCTCGACTCGCACTCCTCGCAGTGAGGATTATTTTTGTTTCATTTTGCCCGCAAAGTTTCGCGAAAAAGCGAGAGAAAATGGAGGAAACAACGCAGCGCGCGCACCGCCCCCGCCTTGCCGCCCTGACGGCCAAGGTCGTTCCGCCGGCGGTAACGATGGTAACGAACCCCGGCCCCGGCGCGGCGCAGAACCGTTCGGGGTGCGCGGTAACGATGTAACGCGAGGATGACGGAGGGGGCGTCGGCTTGATGTGTTTGCAGCGATTCCTCGTCCTTAGTGCCGGGCTTGTCTTGCTTCCCGCTCACACTTGTGTTCCTGTTACAGGGTTGCGGCACGGGCGGCGGGGCGCGGGGCGTGGCGGGGGCCTGCGTCCTCGCGGTCCTGACGCTCCTGACCTGCGCGCGCTGCGCGGCGGCCGCCCCGGACCCCGGCGGCCACCCCAGAGGCGCCACGCCGGAGGACGGCGGGGGGACGGCCACCGCACGCGAACAAGGTAACTAAAGTCTAGGGCAGCTCCTTCCGGCCAGGTCGCCGTCGTCGCGCCTCCGTGCCGCACGAGAGTGAGAGGCGGCGGCTTTGCGCTTCGCGTCGGGAAAGAGATTCCGTCGTGTTTACGGCGACGAGCGCGGGACAAGCGCCCCATCAGGCCTTGTGGAGGGGGAGGGGGGGACACAGGTGGCCGAGATGTGCGCCAAGTCGCGCCTCGCCGCCACGCCCTCCGCATGCTGGGTAAACTCGTCCGACTGTCTTTCCTCTCTTTTCGTCGCGTCCCAGCTGGCAGCGCTGGCTCTGCTGGCTCTGCTGGCGGCGCGGCGCCACCTCCGGCCCTACGGCCTCCGCCAGGCAAACGAAATGAAGAGCGTGTTGTGTCGGCCACTTGGCGCCAGCCGGCCGCCGCCGTCGTCGTCGTCACGGACTTGTTGGCGTGCCTCCGCGGCCTCGATGTGGAGCGGCGGGGTCAGTAGGGGAGGGAACAAAAAATGTCACCCCGCGCGCCACTGGTATTCGAACCCGCGACTGTGGCGGCCGCCGACCCCCGCCCTGTCCGCGGTCGTCGTCGTCGGGGCAGTAAATGAAACCGAGCACAACGGGCTGAGACTACGCGGCCGTCTGCCCGGCCGTCCTCGCCATGGGACTGACTGCGTGAGGGAGAAAGTGGGTCGAGGAAAAAATTTGGCGATCCAGACAACGGCATGCTGGGGAGAGGAGAGGAGGGTCCGGACCAAATATCAGCAGCAGCGCCGCCGGGTGTCGCGCGTGCATCTCGTTGTTATCGTCCGGGCCGCCGCCGTCGTGCTCCCGAAGCGCCCGAACGCGGCGCCGCACAGTGGGCCAGAAGACCGGTGGTGGAGGCGGCCAAAACTCTGGACGCGTTTTTAGCTCCAGAGTCGCTGAAAGGGACTCGAACCGAACTTGTGACCCCATCAACGGATTGCTCTTTGAACGAGGAATTCATTGGTGGGGTCACACGTTCGGTTCGTTCGAGACCTGTTCAGCGACTCTGGAGCACAAAACGCGTCTACAGTTTTGGCCACCTCCACCGGTCTTCTGGTCCACTGTGCGCCGATCCGGGCCGCGGCGGGGCGTGTGAACCTCGCCGTCGACGACAGCAGCGGCTGCCAGAAGCGGCCTTCCTGTCGTCAACCATAAATCGGCGCCAAAAGTTGGACCAACAACTGAAGAGGGCAAAAATAGGAATTTCTAGAAGAATATTTACATGTCGATAGAGTAGAAATATTGGGTTTGGTCAACTGAGAGGTACTCCGCGAAATTCTTTGTCATCGTGAACGCCGAAAAGAGTGCGATGCATTTCCTGTTCGGCTGCCGCTACGCCGGTTATGGGTTCGCGGAGTGCATTCCCAGCCGCGGGTCGCGAGTGCGCAGTCAACACGGCAACCCCTTCCCGCGGCCTCGCCGCCTCGCCGCACAGTGGGCCAGAAGACCGGTGGAGCGGACCAAAACTCTTGACGCGTTTTGAGCTCCAGAGTCGCTAAATGGGACTCGAACCGAACGTGTGACCCCACCAATGGATTCCTCGTTCGGAGAGCAGTCCATTGGTGGGGTCACACGTTCGGTTCGAAGCCTGTTTAGCGACTATGGAGCTCAAAACGCGTCTAGAGTTTTGGCCGCCTCCACCGGTCTTCTGGCCCACTGTGCGCCGTGGCGTGGCCGCCAAGGCACTATGCGGCTAATGGGACTTATGAATGGCTGCGCTGCGCCGTGCTGCGCCGTGCACTTGGCGGGCTGCTGCTCCAGTGACCCGGGTAATGTCGGGTAAAATCCGATGGCGCAGATCTGATAATGGAGACCCAGCGCCACGCTGCGCCGCGAGGCCCGGCCCTCGGCCCTCGGGTCGATACGGCACTGGGGCGGACTCCGGCAGGCACTCCGGCAAGGCGCCGAGCAACAGGACGCTGCAGGGGCCGGGCTGGGGCGCGGCCCGGGTGGGCCCCCCTGGGGGAGTGCTTTTACCGCCTCTCGCGTCCCGGTCCCAGTGGGTGTCCTGTTGTTGGTGTCGGGCGAATCATATTTGATGGCGGCAAACGCTCATGCGGAATCGGTCCGCAAACAAGCGACGAAGTCGGAGCCTCGTTCCCTCTAGGGGCCCGCCCCACAGTGGGCCAGAAGACCTGTGGAGGCGGTCAAAATCCTAGACGCGGTTTGAGCTCTAGATTCGCTAAATGGGACTCGATCCGAACGTGTGGTCCCACCAATGGATTGCTCTCCGAACGAGAAATCCATTGGTGGGGTCACACGTTCGGTTTGAGTCCTGTTTGGCGACTCTGGAGCTCAAAACGCGTCTAGGGTTTTGGCCGCCTCCACCGGTCTTCCGGCCCACTGTGCGCCCGCCCCGCCTTAAGCGTTCGCGTCACGCCCACTCCCCGCGCGCCGATCTTGCCTCGGGTTTCAAAGCGGCGCGCTTTCCTCGCTTTCCCGATGTCCCGAATGTAATGCGAGCGGCGCCGTCAACAGACGCCCCCCCACTCCGATTCAGCGCCTTCCAAGGTCACGCCCTGCAGGCCCGCGCACAACCTATTTGCCGGCACAACTTTACTCGCCTTGGAGCAGTAAGCGTGCGGTACACACTCGACCCTCGCGGAGTGTGGGCGTTATTTTTGGCTTGTCGCTCTTGCGCGCCACCGGAGCAGTAAAGCTGTTAAGCACCATATATCCCCCAGCAGTCCAAGCTGCAGAACCGACACGCATTTAATTAGAAGGCGTGCTCCTGATCGGCTGCGATCGTGCCGCGCGAAGCATGGCGAAGCATGGCGAAGCATGGCGCGGGCGGCACTGGAAGGTCACGAGGAGGTCGCCGTCAGGGAAAGTGCTACGCCCCGCCCCGCCCCGCCGCGGCGGGCCTCGGATCGGCAACTGTTTATCCGGAAACAGAAACGCGTTAGGCGCGGTTCGACTGTGGCGCGATCGTGGCCGGCATTTGAAAGCGGGCGTTCTGCGCGCCGCGCATCGCAAAAACACTGCCAGTACTGCCAGGGTGCGAAATAATGTCATTAGCGTAAACACGGTGCTTTTTGCTCGTTGCAGGTCGGAAGCTGTTCGGCGGCTACAAGATCACGCCGCGGCCCTGCCAGGGCACGTCCAGCAGCACGGGCTTCAGGGAGGCCGCCACGGGCACCTGCATGTTCAACTACGAGTGCAGCCGGCGCCAGGGCGAGGTGGTGGGCACGTGCACGGACTCGTTCCTGTTCGGCGCGTGCTGCCGCCTGCCGCCCGGCGTGGTGTACGCCCCCGACGACGTGGATGAGCTCGTCAGCGAGCGGCCCTCGCTGGACAACAAGCTGCCCCCCGCGCCAGCACCGCTGCCGTCGGCGGCGGACAGCGCCCTGCCCGCCAGGCCCGCGGTCGCCACTGGCGGCGGGCAGGGCGTCCACGCCGTGGACCCCCTGGACTCGGCGCTCATCAACGAACTGTTCCTGAACGCCGCGCTGCACCGGCCGCCAGCACAGGGCACGTACGCGTCGCCGGACACCGTGCTGCTGCACCGCAACGGCTCCGTCGTCAGCGAGGAGGCGCAGAACCTGGAGGAGCTGTTGGCCCTCAACAACAGCCCTTCGTCGGGCCTGGCCGCCACCAGCAAGTCGCCGCCGGAGACCTCGGCGACGGGGATGGACGGCTCCGCGCCCGGCCGGCCGGAGATCACCACCTTCAGCTACGTGACCGGGCCCGGCGGCGTGACGGCCACCTCCACTGCCCCGGACATGCAGCCCACCACCAAGCTGGCGGGGACCTTCGCGTCCACGGGCAGGCCCTACCCGTCAGAGCCGTCGTCCTGGGACCAGATCCTGCAGTCCAACTCGATCCCCACCGAGGCCGTGGAGCAGGACGAAGCGGCCGACGCGAGCAACAAGGTCTCCACCAAGCCGTACGTCGCGGCCTCCACCACGTTCTACACCCAGCCGCAGCCGCCGCGCATCACCAAGCCCACGTTCTACTCGTCCACCACCAAGTGGCACACCTCGGGCGGCGTGACGACGCAGCGCTTGCCGTCCTTCCGGCCCAAGCCGCAGGCCAGCACGTCGTCGCCCTGGTCTTCATCCGCTGGCACCAAGTGGACCTCCTCGCCGTCCAAGCGGCCCCAACAGCCCGCCGCGTCGCCCGGCGATCACTTTGTGCCGGTGCCGCTGGTCACGGCCAACTCGCAGAATGGCGTGACGGTCCCGGACACGCCGGCCGACGACAACATCGAGGTCGCCACCAACGCCGCCTCCATCAGCCACATCCTGTCCATCCTCAACAACTCGTCGCCCCCGGTCATCGAGCAGAGTGACCCCATGCCCGAGCCCGAGGCGCACCCCGACCCGCACAACACCACCTCCGGCGTGTCCACATGGGTGTCCGTGGACGGCGACAAGCCCAAGCCGCTGAGCCAGCAGTTCGCGGAGGACGCCGCGGAGGAGGACGCGTCAACGACGCCCAGCAAGGAGTACCCGACCGAGACCACCAGCAACCTCGTTACATTGTCTACCTTCTACTCGTCGAAGCGGCCGACAGTCACGCACGGCAGCACGCAGGGGTACTACACGAGCGTGCCGACGCGCCGGCCGCCCGTGCGCCCCACGCCGCGACCACCGCCCTCGCGGCCCACGTACAGACCGCCCACCAGCACGACGGTCAAGGTGCACGGCCCCGCGTACAACGTCAAGCCGTCCACGCCGCACTACCAGGGCGAGCCGAGCACGCCGTACGAGACGACGGTGCTGTTCAATCCCACGGCGGCGGACTCGGTGGAGAACGACGACTACTACCCCACGGTGAGCGTGACGCCGCCGCCGCCGCCCGACCCCACGTTCCACTACAGCCCGTACCCGCGCCCGCCCACGCCGCCGCCGCCCGTGCACGCGCACTACGACGCGCCGCTGACCGCGTCGCCCGCGCCGCCCGTGCCCTCCACGTCGCTGCGGCCGCCGAAGCCGTCGCCCGTGCCGCCCCCCGCGCCCACCGTCATCGTGCTGGGCCCGTACGACCCCATCACCACCAGCAACTACCCCACGCGCAGGCCGCAGCCCGTCACCTCCACGACGGAGAGCTCCGTGCTGCCGAGCCAGGGGCTGGTGTACACGCAGGTGCCGTCCAACCACGGCCAGGGCGGCACAGTCACCATCATCACGAAGCGGCCGCAGCGGCCTGCATCGGCCACGACGAGCACTGTGACCAAACGCACGCCCATCACCATCTCCGCGTCGGCCAGCACCACGCCCGGGCCCGCCGCGCTGGCGGACATCACCCAGAGCGTGGCTGCGTCGTCGTACCCGGGACACACCGGGACCATCTCGCCCGGGCGCCCCAACGAGAACGACTTGGTGGCCTTCCCGCCCGTCAGGGACCCCAACCTCAACGTGACCAACAGCTACCCGGGCCACACCACCATCGACGACCAGGACTACACCGAGTACCCGCCGGACTACACGACGCCGCACCTGGACGACGCCAACCTGGACAACAAGGTGCACGGCTTCGTGGACAAGATCGTCCAGTCGCTGCAGGGCAACTTCGAGGAGCTGGAGAACGTGCTGTTTAGCGGTGACAACAGCTCCAGCAGCGCCAAGCCCGTGTTCTACTCGACCACGACGCGCCGGCCCACCGTGCTTAGCACCATCGTGTCCTCCCTGCGGCCCACCAGGACCACGACGCGCCGTCCCCCGACGCGGCCCTCCAAGCCGTCCACGGCCACCATCACCATCACCACGACGCGGAAGCCGCCCAGCAAGCGGCCCAGCACGACCGCGACGACCAAGCGGCCCACCACCAGGCCCAAGCCGACGACCACCAAGAAGCCCAAGCCGCCCAAGCGCAAGCCCACGACCACGCCGGCCCCCGAGGAAGAGGACGAGGATGAAGACGACGACTTGTCGTCCACGAGCGGCTACGGCAGCTCCACCACCTCCACCGAGGACTACGAACCGGACTACAGAAGCCGTAAGGATAGTTCGCCGTCCCGCCGGCTGCGGCTGCGACCCGCCTGGTAGTGTAGACTGTCGACTGTGTCTGTGTGTGTGACTGTGATGTGTGTGTGACTGTTGACAGAGTGCGGGGTGCGGCCCCACGTCAAGTCGGGGCGCGTGGTGGGCGGCAAGGGCGCGCGCTTCGGGGAATGGCCCTGGCAGGTGCTCGTCCGGGAATCCACGTGGCTCGGCCTCTTCACCAAGAACAAGTGCGGCGGCGTGCTCATCACCCACAAATACGTCGTGACGGCGGCCCACTGCCAGCCAGGGTACGCGGCCACGCGCCAGGGCGAAGCGCCTGCGAAGCGCCGGGTAGGCAACCCGCGCGCACCGGCGTGTAACAGGGCGGCCTACCCCACCCACTGCAGGCGCTCCGGACCGCAGCGACGTCCTATCATTTATTTCTCAAAATATTTTATTTGCATTTAATGTGTGTTAATCATGTCACCGTTGATACTTCGGCCTTGAACTTGACCTTGGCTCTGCTGATGCAGGTTCCTGGCGTCGCTGGTGGCCGTCTTCGGCGAGTACGACATCTCGGGCGAGCTGGAGCCGAAGCGCTCCGTCTCCAAGAACGTGCGGCGCGTGATCGTGCACCGGCAGTACGACGCCGCCACGTTCGAGAACGACCTGGCGCTGCTGGAGCTCGAGTCCCCCGTGTCCTACGACACGCACATCGTGCCCATCTGCATGCCGCAGGACAACGAGGACTTCACCGGCAGGATGGCCACCGTCACCGGCTGGGGTCGGCTCAAGTACGGTACGTACAGTGCACTGGCACAGCGGCACCCGCGAAAGGAAGGTCAAAGCTTGATTCCTTTGCTGAAATGACCCTCGTCCTCCACTGTCCAGGCGGCGGCGTTCCCAGCGTGCTCCAGGAGGTCCAGGTGCCCGTCATCGAGAACAGCGTCTGCCAGGAGATGTTCCAGACGTCCGGCCACGCCAAGAACATCATCGGCAGCTTCCTCTGCGCGGGCTACGCCAACGGGCAGCGGGATTCGTGCGAAGTGGGTGCCATAACCGCGGATTCAAGCTTGCCCTCTGCGGGGAGTCAACGCCAGCACTCACGCGTGTCCTCTTTGTTTCCAGGGCGACAGTGGCGGCCCGCTGATGGTGGAGCGCGACGACGGCCACTGGGTGCTGGTGGGCACCGTGAGCCACGGCATCAAGTGCGCCGCGCCCTACCTGCCCGGTGTCTACATGCGCACCACCTTCTACAAGCCCTGGCTGCGCTCCATCACGGGCGTGTCGTGAGCGCGCCGAGGACGCCGTCGGCGCCCCTCCAGTGATCAACTTCTTGCCACCGCGGCGCCGGCCTCCGCGCCGCGCGTCCCGGACTCTGGGCCGCAGCTCTGCAGCGTCGCCTCCAAGTGATGGACTCGAGGAGCAGGCGCTGCCGCTGCCGCCGTTGTTGTTGTTTTAGTTGTTGTTATTGTTTTTGTTGCTGAGCTCGGCTGCCGGGGCTGCCCGCGCCCCCCGACTCCGTGCCCGCGGCCGCCACTGTGCGCGCGGCCGGATGGTTCCTGTTCCCTCGGGCGGCGCGGGGACAGCCCCCGGCACGCGTGAGACAAAGACAGCCTCGTTGGCCGCGTCCGCCCGTGTCCGGCAGTGGTGCCGGAGACTGCCCCGGCTAGATGGCTAGATAGATTTTCCCTCAAAGATGAACGACACGACCCCAACTTCCGTTATCTCCTCATTCCAGAGCCTACTCCCCGAACCCCGATGCTTTCCTTGTGCCAAAATGTCCAAGTCGCGAAACAGCGTGAGATCCTTATCTCTGAGGGGACTATAAACCGTCTCTGGCAGCACTGCGCGGCACTGCGTTTGTGTGAGTGTGAGTGCGAGAGTGTGTGTGTCTGTATGTATATGCATTTTGCGGTATTCCCTGGTGGAGAATGGCGCCAAAGGCAAACGTACTAACTTCACCTTTGCCTGACCTGGTTTTAATTTATGTATTTATTTATTTATTTATTTTATATATTTACCTTTTGAATATGCTCAAAGAATGCGGGAACTTGACGGAACGCGGCTAAATTTCTAGTCTCCTCCAAGCAAACACCTTATATTTTGGTGCAATGTATTTGTTGTTTATTTTGTTATTTTCGGGCTTCCTGGCTCCGCAAGTTCCCGCTCTGCTGGCGCGCTGGCGCCCTCTGCCGGGGCCTCGCGAAGAGTCATGTCCGAACGACTTTTAAGTTTACCAGTCTGCTCCTAACGTGACGATGTACCCAAGCTGTGGAAATGTAGAAAGTGTTTTGTATTTCTTCTGTATAATAATCTTGTCTATTTATTATTTATTGATACATGTATCTATTATATATTTATATATTTATTTATTCCCTTCGAGTCAGTCGCACTACGTTCTGACATTTCCACAGCTTGAGAACGACGATGTATGATAATGTAGAAAAATGACACTAATTTATAAACTTGGGTATGTGTGAACAAAGTGTGTACAAATTCGTGTACAAAATGTACATCTCGTCACTCGTATTAACGTTACTTCCTTCTCTGTCTCCCTCTCGTTTCTCGAACTGTGTTTCCCTGCTTCTTCATCGAACTCCTGTCCAGCAATACTTGATTATGAATCCTTTCTTACTCACCTGGATGCACCATCTGTGATACCGCGGAAGTAGTGCTCGCGAGGGACTTTGTCGTCTGCTGAAAGTAACGTCAAAACCAAAATGTAAAACGTGTGTGTGTATGTGTGTGTGTCTGTGTGTGCGACTGTGCGAGAGTTGTTGTGGTAGTGGTGGTCCACGTCTTCATGGCACGAATACGAGCCGGCTCTGTGTGAGTGTGTGCGTCGGGGCGATTTCGACGACGGTGACGACGGCCCGGTGGGGCCGGCGGGGATTGGTGGGGCCTGCCTTGGGCTAGGCCCGGGAAGGCCGCCTCTCCACGCAGGCCACCACGCCGCGGCGCCACGGCCCGGCCCGCCCGGCCCCTCGCCTCGCCGGCACCGCGGTCGCTGTCATGCACCAGTTCTGGCGACCTGGAAAGGGAACGTCATATAACGTGGCGCCAGCAGCAGCAGGACTCATCCTTTCGATCGGATGGCTCAGCGCGTCATTCACGTGTCGTCCACGTGTCACCTGCGTGTCACTTGCGTGTCACCTGCGTGTCACCTGCGTGTCACTTGCGTGTCACTTTCGTGTCACTTTCGTGTCTCGTGTCACTTTCGTCTCGTGTCACTTTCGTGTCACTTTCGTGTCACTTTCGTGTCACGCGTGTCACTTGCGTGTCACTTTCGTGTCACTTGCGTGTCGCGCACGTGCTTTGCTGCCGCTGGCTTAGAACAGCCCGCGGCCCGGCACACGTGCACACGGGCACGGTCCTGTAATTCCAATGAGCCGATCGAATGCCGGCGCGCCGTGGTCGTCGTGGAGTGCAGGGCGAGTAGAGTGTGCGCGGCTCATTCCAACGCGATTGCCGTGCTTTGGCGTGCTTTGGCGTGCTTTGCCATGCTTTCGGGTGATTAGGCAAAAGGGAAAGTGCGCCGGCACTGCCAGAGGCAGCGCGGCGGGTGGCGCCATCTCTGGCCGCGGCGATCGAGCCAACGGGGCAATGGAGCCAATGGAGCCGGCAGTGATAACAAACTGCCGGTTTTAAAACCGTCCCCGCTTCCCGCTTCCCGCCACGACCGCCACGATGCCGACGGCCCGACGCGTGCGGCCTCCACTCCGACTCTCGGCTGCACGACTGTGCGTTCCTTGTTGTCATTAATTGTTTTCGTCTATTTATTTTATCATGTCGCTGTGGTCGGGGGAGCGACGAGCTCTTGAGACCCAGGGAACCAAACCTCGCTATTGTGTTTAATCTCTCGTCCCCGGTGGTTCAACGACATCGGGCTGGCGACCCAGGGCCGCGGGGACCGCGGGGACGGCGCACCCCGACGGGGGAGTCACCGGGAGCAGCCAATCAACGAATAGCTATCGGTGTAGCCGGCTGGAGAAAGGCCCCTCCACTCCCCCCCCCTCCAGGACCTCCAGCCAGATGAGTGACTCGCGTCTTCATTGACGCGGCTCGGCATGTGCCTCGGGATGAGCGGGCAGCGCATGGCAGCGCGGCGGCGTGCCTCCGCGGCGGTGCCCATCACGGTGGGGCGGGGCGCGCGGCTGTAATGCCCTTGCTGCACCTTATTGGCCTTCACCGTTAGCCGCGTCCGCGCCCGGCCATATGCAGCTCGAGGGCGGGGCGTGGCGGGGCGGGGCGGGGCAGGGCGGGGCGGTCAGCCGAGCGGGCGATGACGCATTTTCGATTAGTCGGTGCGCGCTGACGCGTTCGGCCCGTCGCCGGGTGCGACCCGGGGCCAGGGTGGCCAGGGGCTCCGCAGCGCGCAGGCCCCGCCGCCCCGCCCTCCATACGATCCACGCACTGCCGGACGCCGGCCGGACCGCCGGACCACGAGGACGATGACCCACTTTCGATGAGTCGGTCACCGCGAGGCAACCGGCCGGCTGGCCCGGCCCGGCGGCCCGGGGCCGGCCTGGTCAGGGAATCTGCTGCAGCCGTGTGCAGCCGTGTGCCAAGCAGCCGCGCCGCCCCGCCCCGCCAGCAGTGTAGCAGAGTGTACGGTCGCACCGCGTCGCGAGCAGTCGCGAGCCGGCACCGGGACGCGGCGAGGCGGACGCCACGGCGGCGTCACGCGGCGCGTCTCTACTTGTTGCGCCGCGCCCCTTTCGAGAGCCTCGGGGCGGACGACGGCGCCGCGCCGCCGCAGGACGGCCTGTTGGTCTTGGCCAGGGCCTCCAGGGCCTCCAGGGCCTCCAGGGCCTCCAGGGCCTCCAGGGCCTCCAGGGCCTCCAGGGCCTCCAGGGCCTCCAGGGCCTCCAGGGCCTCCAGGGCCTCCAGGGCCTCCAGGGCCTCCAGGGCCTCCAGGACACCGCCGGGCCCGCGCTTTTGTCAGGCGCCCCGGGTGGCGGAGGCGGCCCGATACGCGCGCCGTCGATCAAAAGGGTGTCGTCGCCAAAGGCGCCAAAGACTAGCCGCCCCCCGCCCCGCCCCGCCACACCCCGCCCTGTCCCCGTTTTCTAACTCCCGCTACGGGGACGGATAGTCCCACCCCTGGCCCACGCGGAGGTCCCCGGGGGGATTCCACCCAGCTGCTATTCACTTTTAGTTCCCGACTTGTCAAAGAATGAAGCACGAAAAAACTTTGATGATTGTTTTTATTTGGAATGAAAGTATTGTTTGATGTCTCCTCGGTCGCGTGTGTGCGCCACTGCTGTTTTGTAATAACGTGTTTTGTATATAGTTTGTTTTGTTATTATTTTTTTGTGACTGTCATATGAATGTGCCACGCGATGTTGCAAGTGAATGTAAAAAGAGAAGAAGAAGAACTCTGTTAATAAAAATGATACAAATACCATGGAATGCGATCGTGACTTTAAATTATTATCATCGCCCGCCACCGTTCCCTCGACGACCTGGTTGCGGCCCCGGATGCAGTGCCGGCCGCCGCGCCGCCGGCCAATGGGAGCGCGCCATTTAGCGGGGCCGATCTGATTGGGCGAGGCGCGAAGCCGCGAAGCAGGAGAAACTGAGGCCGCCAACGGTCGCAGCTGCAGGCTGCGCTTCCAGTGCGCCGGCAGGGTAGGCAGCCCACTCGGCATGCCGGCACGGCGGCACGGCACCACCATGCCGGAAGGGTGGTCTACCTCCGGGCGGCAGAGACACGCCGCCAGGTGCGGGGTGGGAAAGACGACCGACCACCGGTTTAGGTGGGTCTGAAATGAAACTTCTACAAGCGCGGATCGGGGGGGGGAGGGGGGCAAAAGGCCATTCCCCCCCCCCTTGACTCCTAGATAACCGCCTGAAAGGTAGGCAAAAAGCAACACTTTGCCCCTGTAAGTAGGCAAAAAGTGCAAAAAGTGCTACTTTGTCCCCCCCCCCCCTGGGCCGACTCTGGATCCGCCACTGAACTTCTAGCATAGAATAGCATAGCATAACACAGCATAGCAAAGCATAGCAAAGCATAGCATAGAATAGCATAGCATAGCACAACATAGCATATAGCATAACAGCAAAGGTAAACCTACAAAACTCAACTAAAAATATATAAATCATACTAAACCTATTTTAGGCCCTTGGGCAAAATAGAGAAACTTAGCGTAGTAAGAGTGTATGTACGTTGTGTTGTGACATCTGAAAAATAAAAACCTTTTAAAAACTGAAGGTGCGGGGTACCGGTATGAATGGAGGCGCGCACCTTAGCCCGAATTCCCAGTCGTTATTCACTCGAGAAGCATGCCATGCATAGCACAACATACGCATTCAATGCTGCATAACAAAGGTAACTCAAAACTATTCTAAAATACTGAGACTTTCATCATAAGCCTTATCTTTACGCCCTGGCAAATGCTCAGAAAACTTGCAGCGTAGTGAAGAGTGTAGGCTACCCGTTGTCAACCGTTTGGACTATCTGGAAAGTCAACTAACACACCATTTTGAGGAAAACAAAAGTGATCCGTTATTGAATTTTTAGCCAGGCACTCCCCCTCCATTCCACGTTCAGTCTGAAAACCGACCCAACACACCTGTTTCAATGCGCTCATAAAAAAGTATCGATTAAAAAACAGTTTCTTAAAATACCCGAGGACTTTCCTCCATAAGTCTGGCTGTGCAGTCATGATTACGACGGAAATGCTCAGTAGGAACCTTGCAGCGTAGTGCGCACACGTAAGTCGATTTTAGGCAACCCGTTCGTCTGCAACGCGTTTGGCGACGGGACGGGGTGGATCAGTTGGAGGTATGTCAACTGATACACACTCTAGTGGCCTGTGAAGGGATGGAGGAGAAACAAAAGTGATCCTGTTTTTGCATTTTTATTCATTTAATAAATTACATAACCATTCACACGCTCACAGTGCCCTCGGAACAAAAAAAAAACTCTCACACATCGTTGTCACTTACGTAATAAAATTTACATTATTTCATCGCATCATTCGTTTCTATTTACAGGTCTAATTTTAAAAATATTAAAATAACACGCTCTAAGAATAAATTAATCAACAGATAAGTCTATAAATGCTTTGATATGCAAATATCACTTCTTGCAACGGTCGTGTGCCTGTCCCACTCCACACCGTGGCCACGCTCAATGCATACGTTTTCTTTTGTGACATTCCAACCGAGAAAACAGAGAGAGAGCGACACTCTTCCCGGAGCACTAAAAGAAAATGGACACACAAAGCGTTGGGGTGTAAAGCGATCCCAAGCATGTCAAAAAAATAAATAATTTCAAAAAACAAAACAAAAAAAAATCTCGCAAATAACGGTACGGTGAGACAAAAACAATTTCTTCGTTTTCAACAATAAATAATTAGACATCTACGAGACCAAAAAACACATTAAAGCATAGCAAAACAACAAAAAACAACCACAGTTGAATCCAGTTGGTCATCTTTATCCGAGTCTTAAGGAAGGCCATGACAGAGGCCACGTTGCGACACCGGGAGGGTACGGAAGGAAGTTGGGCGTTGCTGGCAACAGCACTACAGTAATCCTACGGGTCATTTCACTAAATAAAGGAGTCATTGCACTTAGCATATCACAATCACTCGTCGTCGAGTCACGGAGTGTTTCGGCACGCCACTACAGCGAGCCAATAAGAAGTTCCTCGCCCATCTCTCTTTCTCTCTTTCTCTGCACTCGCATTCCAGAAATAAATCCTCTAGATCGCTCTAGATAACACTCTAGAAATAATATAGTTTCTCTAGATGACTCTAGATATGGCAGTTTTCTCCTCGATGTTGGTTTGGTCGGCTGCCGTTCGGCTTGAGGTCGTACCACAATCGTCGTTAAAATACCCCGCTAGCGGAAAATTTTACAAAGTTGTCAGAAAATTCGTGTTCTTGCGCAGAGGGTAGTATGGTACGCCGCACCGCTCTTCAGTCTTCTGTTTCGTTCGTTTCGTTCTCTTTATTTCCGTCTTGAGGTGTGTTGTTCTTTCGTCGCGGAGAACGGCAGTCCGGAACAACCCTACCTCGGAAATGAGGGTTTGGGTCCGTCGGGGGGTGGGGGCTTCCAGTCCTAGAACTGCATGATTTGGTTGATCCAGTCTCTGAACTCTGAGATGCGCGTGTAGACGCCGGGCTGGTTGGGCTCCGCGCAGCCGATGCCCCACGAGATGACGCCCGCCAGCACCCACCGCTTGTCGTCCGGCCGCTGGATCACCATGGGCCCGCCGCTGTCGCCCTGCAAGCACAAGCACGCCGTCAGTGAGGACGCCCTGGAGGTAGTCGGGCACACCGCACTGGGCCAGAGGGCCGGTGGAGGCGGCCAAAATTCTAGACGCGTCTTGAGCTCCAGAGTCGCTATATGGGACTCAAACCGAACGTGTGACCCCACCAATTGATTGCTCTCCGAGCGAGGAATCCATTGGTGGTGTCACACGTTCGGTTCGAGTTCGATTTAGCGACTCTGGAGCTCAAAACGCGTCTAGAGTTTTGGCCGCCTCCACCGGTCTTCTGGCCCATAGCGCACCGCCAGACCGGGCCACGTACCTCGCACGAGTCGAAGCCACCCTTCCGCCAGCCCGCGCAGATGAAGATGTTGGGGATGTGCTCGATGTAGCCGGCCGCGTGGTACATGGTCTCGCACACCGAGTTGTTGATGACGGGCACCGACACCTCCTGCAGCACGCTCGGCAGCGGCCCCTCTGCAACCACAAAAATTAGCTGACCCTCCTCGCTTCCCATGTACCACAGTGGGCCAGAAGACCGGTGGAGGCGCGGCCAAAATCCCGGACGCGTTTTGAGTTCCAGAGTCGCTAAACAGGATTGAAGCGAACGTGTGACCCCACTAATGGATTGCTCTTCGAACGAGGAATCCATTGGTGGGGTCACACGTGCGGTTCGAGTCCCATTTATCGACTCTGGAGCTCAAAACGCGTCTATAGTTCCGGCCGCCTCCACCGGTCTTCTGGCCCACTGTGCGTACTGGACGCACTTCGCTGGCAGCGAGCCTCACCTTCGTAGATGCGGCCCCAGCCCGTGACGTGCGCCGTGCGCCCCACGAAGCTCGTGTCGTCCTGGGGCACGCAGATGGGCAGGATGTTGGGCTGGAACTGGACGGGCTCGTAGAAGCGCAGCATCGCCAGGTCGTACTCGAAGGTCCGCGAGTCGAACTGCGGGTGGCTGGCGATGAGCTGCACGCGGTGCTCCCGGTACCCGTACGGCTCCTCCTCCGTGGAGAGGTCGTGCTCGCCCAGCCGCAGCATCAGGTGGGTCGGCGGCACGCTGCGCAAGGAGAAGGAGAGAGGTGTCAGCGCGGATCAGGAGGGCGGAAGAAGAACTAACTGTCCCTGGCCCAGCCGCCCTGAGGGTAGGCAAAATGCCACACTTTGCCTCTGTAAGGAAGCAAAAGGTGTCCATTCCTCCCTCCCTCAGGCTGGCCCTGGACCCGCCACTGGCTTGGGGACGGCTCGCAGTGTGGTGGCGGCACTCACTTATCGACGCAGTGCGCCGCGGTGATGGCCCAGTTCTCGTTGAGCAGCGCGGCGCCGCACTTGTGCAGGAAGGTGGACGTCCGCCACTGGCGGAGCGAGATCTGAAACAAGACGGGGTTCGGTTAGCGCTGAAACAACGTTCCCGCTACGCTGCGGCGCGGCGGTCCTGTCGGTCCGGGCTGGGCCATTCTCCGGGGCTCCCTCCCCAATCTCCTTTTCAATGATGTAGGTGCGGCCAGCGCGGCCTTCGCGGAACAGTTATAGAGGCGGCGGCTGGGCCGGCCGGGCCGCGAGCACGCCGACTTGGCCACCGCCTCACGCCGGTGCCGCAGCGCCTGGCCCTAGGGCTTGGCTCGCCCCAGGACAGCCCGGCCAGGGCGAACGCCAGGACGGCGCCAGGACACGGCGCTGGCAGGCATCTCGCTGGCATGCACATTAGAACGTGACAAGAATAGCGCGACCGCGGCGGCGCCGCGATGGAACCTGTTCCCCGGGGCGCTCCCGGAGTACGCGAAGGACGCCGAGGACTCGGAGAGGCGACGGCCGGCTACGCCACTGCCTGGGGCCCGGGGCCCGCCGGGGCCGCGCACGCAAACGGCCACAGGGGGTCGGAAGCGGCGAGCGGCGGTCCATGAACTCGACGTCACCGTCCCTGGTCCGGAGAGGCGTTCGAAAGGGCGCGGCCGCCGCCAAGGCCACCGCCTGCAGTAGGGCTGTCTTGGCAGGCCCGATTCGCACGCGTCCGAGGCGAGGCGACCCAACGGGCAGGTTGGGGCGGGCCTCGGGCCTGGGGCCTCGACGCGGGCCTCAAGCTCCCCTCCGGCCGAAAGCTGTATCCCGGTCCTTGACTCTGCCCCCCTCGCCGCGCCCCACGCCCTCCACACCCTGGCCGGCCGGGGGCGCCAAAGGTCACCAGCAGGCAGAAAGCCATTGTGCCGAGCTTGCTGCAGGCTTGCTGCAGGCCCTCGCGAATGCCCTTATTCGAACGCCCCGCAGCGAAGGAATGCTTTACTGCGGCCGTGCCCCGCGCCCCTCCTGCAGCCCTTCCCCGTCGCCCAGTGCACCGCAGTGCGCCGCAGTGCCAGTACTCACCTGCCAGGGCCACTTCCCGAACGTCGCCTTCTCCCCGCCGACGATCCTGGCCTCGGGGAACAGCCTGCGCCCGCACACTGAAAGCAACAACAGCGTCGTGTTGATGACGGCCATGGTGAAGGTGACAAAGCGTCCGGCGTCCGCCCACGCTCGGTGCAGTGCCGCGCCGCTCCGCGCCGCTCCGCTCGTCGACGCGCGGCTCAATGGAAGGCAGCGAGGCCCCGCGCGTACGGCAGTCCGTCCGGAGTCTGCGCGCCCCGCGGCCTACCCGCACCCGTACCCGTTGTGCACGGAGGTTTGTTTGGGCCCGCCGGTGAGGTTAGTCGTCCGTCTTAGTTGAGGCTACGGCCGCCAGGCCGCGCCAGCACCGCGCCGCCTGCCCCATCCATTTCTACGGGCATATGCGGCGGCGAGCTCGGCGCTCAGCCCCGGGACGGTTTATCCCTCGTTTTTCTTTTCGCATTGTTCGCCTTCTCCTCGGTCAGGTCTTTTTGCCTCCCCGCCCCCCGCCCCTCCAGTCCGTCTCCAGCGACGGCGGAGCGACGGCGGTGACAGGGCAGGGACCTGGGCGACGGAACGGGTTGTCCTGGTGCGGGGCGGGGCGGGGCGGGGCGGGGCGAGGCGGGGCGAGGCGGGTGGGCATAAGTGGCCGGTATAAATCATCCCAATACCCTGCCTGCCAGCCGCCTGCAGACCGCCGCGGCTCGGCCGCCGTGAGTCATTTTCACGTGGTCCCCGCCGAACACCGAAACCGTACAGCCGGCCGGCCGGGCTGGAGCGGGCTGGAGCGGGCTGGAGTCAGTGGCCTCCTCAACGGTGCTCGCCTAACTCTAGCCCACTCCGGCGGGTCCGGCCCTGGCTGCCGCCGCTGCCGCCAGCTGTGGGTCACTCCGCGGGCCGGCAAGCCCCGCTGGACAAAGTCGGAGTGATTCATCGGCGCGGCCTTGGGAAGGCAAAGGCAGACTCGCCCCGTTTCTCCAGCGCGGCTCCAGCGCGGCTCCAGCGGAGGACAGGACAGGTGGGCGTCATCGGAACATGTCCCTGTCGAACTCGGGCGCGGGCTCTGCTGCGCGGCGACACCAAACCGGCCGGAAGCACGTGGCTTCGAGGCAGCAAGGGCGCCTGGCGGCAGGCCGGCCGCACGCGCAGAGGCACGATGGGTTGCCTACCCGCAACACCGCAGGCGCTTGGCCGCAACGCGCCGCCCAGCACTCTCCGCACATCGCAGTTGTCTCTGTCCATCTTGCATGAATGGGGCGACCCATAGAGAGCGACAGAGCGAGTCTGCCGGCAGGCCCAGGCCAGGCCCAGGCCAGGCTGGTCCCTTACCGTTCCTGTAGTCCGACATGTTGAGCGAGTTGAGCTGCTCCACGTCCAGGCCCGGCGGCGGCTGGTCGGTGACGCTGGGTCCCGGACTAGACGTGCTCCCCGGACTCGTGCTCCCTGGACTAGTGCTCGCTACAGAGGTGCCGGGGGTGGTGCTGGTGCCGGTGGTCGTGCTGGAGGTAGTGCTCGAGGTGGAGGTGCTCCCTGTCGTCAACGTGCTCGCCGCCTCCGTGGTCTCCAGCGTGCTCGCGCTTTCCGTGGTCAGGGGCGCTGTAACCATGGCAACCGTCAGGACAGCCTGCACCGCGTGCGCACTGTAGGGGCCTACAGCCAACCCTTTGATCCGCGGTCCAGGCAGCCAAACCAGCAACCGGCGTGGTACTCACCCTCCGTGGTGGTGGGCCTGGCCGCGGGTACGGTGGTGCCCGCTGTGGTCCCAGCTGTGGTGCCGACCGTGGTGCCAGCCGTGGTGCCTGCCGTAGTGCCCAGGGTGGTGGGCGAGGTCCCGAAGGTGGCGAAGGTGGCCCCCGGCGTGGTGCCCGCGGTGCCCGCCGTGGGCCGCTGGGTGACCGACGGCCTCGCCGTGGGCCTGGGCGGCGTGCCGAAGTGGCTCGTGCTGGTGGCGGGGGCCGGGGTGGGCCGCAGCGTGGACACCTCCACCTGCACCCACTGGTCCGGGGTCGTCTCCACGTCTGCCAATAACGAGAAAGTAGTGAAAGCACCGAAAATGGCGAGGGCCCCGCCGAGCGAGGGCAGTAGCGCTTTCGCCCCCGGACGCCCTGTACAGTGTACAGTACCCCCAAGCTTTGCCGACCTGCATCACTTGTCGAGGAAAATGGGCCGAGAGTGAGAAAAGAAGGCCGGTACTCGAACCCGGGACCCGAGCCTCAGGCAGCGCGGCGGTCATGGCGGTCGTGGACGTGAGGAGACTGTAACCGCGGTGAAAGCAGTGCGGGCTGCGGGGCGCTTTAAAGGACCGTATGGAGATGAGGCCCCACGGGCCACCGAGCCGCCACGCCGAGGGCCCCGCGGCGGCAGACTGTTTGGAGGAATGACGAGGTCGTCGACGGGGACGTCACGGGCGTCGGGGACGTCATGCACGGCGAAAACGTGAAGCGTCATGTGGGGCGCGGCGTGGCGGGGGAGCGGCGCGGTGATGGCGACGCCGGGAGTGGCCCTGACAATGCTGCCGCCGCCTGCCCCGGCCTGCCCTACATGCACGCGGTGCAGCCAGGCTGGCTGGCCGGGCCCAGCCTCTCGGCCAGGGTGGGGCCGGGCCGGGCCGGGCCCGAGTCACCCACTGAGCGCGGGGCGCGGCCCAGCCGGGCGTGCGCGGCGAATGCCACCTTGGTGCCATCGCCTCACAATGGCTGACAAACGAGTCCGTCTCGGGAAAATGTTTGGCGACCCAGAAGCTGCCGCCTTGCCGCGCGCCAACGCGCCTGTATGCAGTTAGGCCTCCGCGCCAGCAGGCAGTCAGCAGGCAGTCGCCAGGCCAGGCAGCAGCAGGGCCGGGGAGGAAGAGAGGACGTATAAAAGCGCAGGCATTCTGCATTCAGAATCCTCTCTCCTTGTTGCCTCGCGACGTGCTTGGCCGGGAACTGGTTTGCGCCGCGCTGCCCGCGGTGCCTCTGGGCCCCGCCCCGTCCCCGCGGCACGCCGCGCACCGCGCACCGCGTCGCGATTAGCGCGGCGTAACGGAATGCGGGTAATCCTCGCGATACCGCGCACCGTGCCGCGAGCCGCGATAGCCCCAGTCCGTCCGTCGCCGTGCCGCCCTGCCGCGCGTGTCCACGAGGTGCGATTGTTGGCGAGCCCGACGCCGCACAGTGGGCCAGAAGACCGGTGGAGGCGGCCAAAATTCCAGACGCGTTTTGAGCTCTAGAGTCGCTAAATGGGACTCGACCGACCCTAACGAGTGACCCCACCAATGGATTCCTCGTTCGGAGAGCGATCCAGGTGGGGGGTGGGGTCACACGTTCGGTTAGAGTCCTGTGTAGCTACTCTAGAGCTCAAAATGCGTCTAGAATTTTGGCCGCCTCCACCGGTCTTCTGGCCCACTGTTAGACTGTCCCACGAAAAATTACAGTTTCTGTTTGCTCTCGGGGCACTTGAAAAATAAGTTCTAAATGTAAAAAAAAGAATAAATTCTTTTGGCCGAAGCAATCGGACAGAATTTAGAGGTCGCGCATCGCTCCCAAAGGAAAAATTACCGTTTTTGGCAAATTTCGCTCTTTCTCTCACAGCCACGGCGCTTCCCGGCCGACCCACGCGACTCGGTCGGACTCCTAGTACCCTCGCGTAACATTCAAGCACCAAACCGACCCTTGCCGACCCCTTAAACTCTTTTATAAAAGCCAAAAACAATAATTTTTTTCAGAAAAATTTGTTGAAAAGTGCTGAAAAAGGTGTAAGGAGTGAAGATTAGGCAAATCTGTGTGGCTCAATCGATTGGAAATCATCGAAAACTCATGTGTCAAGAATTGGAAGTGCCTACGGTCATAAATGGCCGCACCCGAAGCAGGCAAATCCGCAATTTTCGGGAAACGGCCTTTTTGGCTGAGCGATAGCGAAGCCTGTTACTCCAGTGCGGTTGAAAAGTTTTGTCTGTCTGTCTGTCTGTCTGTCTGTGTGTCTGTCTGTCTGTGTGTGTACACTACTCCTCCTGAACGGCTCAGCCGATCTGGCTGAGATTTCGCAGGGTTATTAGGTATGTTCTTGGCTCGGCACACGCGAAATTTCACCATCCTAGCTCAAGTGGTTCAGTTTTTATAGCCGAAAAACACCTAAAAAACGGCGAAAAATCGAGTTTTCTGTCGGTAGACCTCTCCTGTCTGGATGAAAGGGGGGTCTGGGGGCGGAGCCCCCCAGCCACGACAAGTTGAAAAGTTACAAGGGTCAAGATCGTGTAATTTGGAGATGAAGCACCTCTATCTAGAATGAAGGGGGTCTGAGGCCCCCCAGCATGCAACAGTTCTGAAGTAACTGATGATGGACAAGCATTGTCTGCCGAAGGCAGGCTAGCGCCGCAGGCCAAGGTAGGTACGCCAGGCGCGGATTGGAGAAACAGGCCGCGAGACATCGCGAAGCCTGTTACGACAAGACGCTGTCTGGCGTAAACCTACCTTGTTTACATAGGGGCGTTCCAGACCAAAAAAGCCACTTGGCCGGCGACCATCTCGGACCAAGCTCAAACTTTTTCCAGGGTTCCTTTCATCCATACGGACTGCCGAAACACCATGGGAGCGAGATCCGACTTGAACTCCGGATTGTATAGGGGTCTTCACCCCCCCCGGCGGTTTTTTAGGGTTCGGGACTTGTTGGGCTGGTGGAACCGGCTGTTTAAACAAGGTAGGTTTACGCCAGACCGCGTCTTGTCGTAACAGGCTTCGCGATGTCTCGCGGCCTGTTCCTCCAATCCGCGCCTGGCGTACCTACCTTGGCCTGCGGCGCTAGCCTGCCTTCGGCAGGCATTGGCTTGTCCATCGTCGGTGACTTCTAACTTGCATACTGGGGGGCTGCCCCCCTTTATTCTAGATAGAGTTGTTTCATCAACAGATATCACAATCTTGATCCTTGTAACTTTTTAACTTGTCCTGGCTGGGGGCCCCGCCCCCCAGACCCCCCTTCCTTCAACACAGAAGTGATCTGCCTGCAGAAGACTCGATTTTTCGCCGTTTTTTAAGCGTTTTTCGGCTATAAAAACTGAACCACGGGAGCTAGGATAGTGAAATTTCGCGTGTGCCGAGCCAAGAATATACCAAATAAGCCTGCAAAATCTCACCGAGATCGGCCGAGCCGTTCAGGAGGAGTAGTGTACACACACAGACACACAGACACACAGACAGACAGACAGACAGACAGAAAAAACTTTTCAACCCCACTGGAGTAACAGGCTTCGCTATCGCTCAGCCAAAATGTAGAAAAAAAGTTTTCATTGTCGCTTTACTACACAAACCCACCATTAACGATGAATAAAATGTTTTTTCTGGACCCAAATCCTCCTCAGCCCAGTGGTAAAATGGCCCCAAACTTCCATTGATCACAGTTTCTCTAATAATTGCCTGAGATGGCTGACATTTTGTAGGGGTGTTGACCCATGGGTAGGCACCATTGAGGCCTCAGAGGAGAGAAATCGACGATGATCTACTTTGAGCGGCCATGTGATCACATCTCCAGTGAAAATGGTGAAATTGAGCGACTTTGAGAGCCCGTAGCGTCAAAACCCGACGTTGTACAGCCTCGTGCGACACGCCAATCGAAAGAGCGCACTATTTCCTACAAGAAAAACCTAAAGGGTACATTTTTTAAACAGCCGGTTCCACTAGCCCAACAAGTCCCGAACCCTAAAAAACCGTCGGGGACGCGGGCGGGGGGGGGGTGAAGACCCCTATACAATCCGGAGTTCGAGTCGGATCTCGCTCCCATGGTGTTTCGGCAGTCCTTATGGATGAAAGGAACCCTGGAAAACGTTTGAGCTTGGTCCGAGATGGTCGCCGGCCAAGTGGCTTTTTTGGTCTGGAACGCCCCTATGTAAAATAGGCCGTTTCCCGAAAATTGCGGATTTGCACTGCTTCGGGTGCGGCCATTTATGACCGTAGGCACTTCCAATTCTGGACACATGGGTTTTCGATGATTTTTAATCGATTGAGCCACACAGATTTGCCTAATCTTCACTCCTTACACCTTTTTCAGCACTTTTCAACAAAATTTTCTGAAAAAAATTATTGTTTTTGGCTATTATAAAAGAGTTTAAGGGGTCGGCAAGGGTCGGTTTGGTGCTTGAATGTTACGCGAGGGTACTAGGAGTCCGACCGAGTCGCGTGGGACGGCCGGGAAGCGCCGTGGCTGTGAGAGAAAGAGCGAAATTTGCCAAAAACGGTAATTTTTCCTTTGGGAGCGATGCGCGACCTCTAAATTCTGTCCGATTGCTTCGGCCAAAAGAATTTATTCTTTTTTTTTACATTTAGAACTTATTTTTCAAGTGCCGCGTGAGCAAACAGAACATGTAATTTTTCGTGGGACAGTCTACCCACTGTGCGACGCAGCAGGCTGATGCCGAACAGTGCTTTCGTCGCTCTGTCTCGCTCGCACTCATGGGGTGAGATAGAGACAGGGTGACAAGTGACAAAGCTCCGTTCAAAATCAGGCCGCGGACAATACCGCGACTCGACGCGCATCCCCCTGTGATACGCCACGTGGAGCGCTTGTCGCCCGACGCGCGTTGCGCCCTGACGGTGGCACGGCGGCCACAGGGACATATTTCGAGGAGTTCTTCCTGAAGGCGTCTTTCAAAGCGCCCTTCCCGGCCAACGAGCGTAGGGGGACATCGTCGGGAAGGGCAGGCCGGCGCGCTGAGCCACAATGGCGTCGCGAGCCGTGCTGTCTGTGTCTGGCTCATGTAAGATGCAAATGCACTTTCCCCCGAGAGCAGCACGCGTCGCGACACGCGGCCGGCCGCTGGGTGCTGCCCGGTTGCCTGGTGCTTGGGTCTGGTTGTCGGGTTGGGTCACGCACCGTCCCCACCGTCCCCACCGCGCCCGTCAAAGCGCGCTGACGTCGCCGCGCGGTCGCAGTCGCGGTCCGCCCACGCCCACCCCCTTCACCGCATTGCGATCCGTCCCAGACGCGGCCCCGCCCCGCCCCGCCCCGCCCCAACCCGCCCCGCCCCGCCGGGTCGCGGCACGCCTTCCGGCTGCCGGCCGCCACACCCCGCCACACCCCGCCCCGCCATGACCTCACTTTCTCTGATGGGATGACATCTGACATCCGCGTGGGGGTGGTGCCCGCGCTGATTCCCTGTCGGACTTACCCAGTGTGGTGGACGGGTACTGGGTGACGGGCTCCAGGGGCTCCAGGGGCTCGGCGGCGAGCGTGGGCTTGGGGCTCGGCGTGTCCGCGTCGGTGACCCAGGACCACGTGACCAGGGTGGCTGACGGCGTGGTGGGCCCCACGCCCGGCCGGTGAGGGTCCACGATGGCGTTGAGGTTCTCCTCGATGTCGTCCGCCGGGCTCTTGGTCGAGGAGGGCCCGGCCACGCCGACGGGGGAGATCTCGTTGGACAGGATGGCGGCCTCCTCGAGCGTGGTGGCGCCGTCGGCCTCCTCGTCGCGCTGCGTCGTGGTCGGCGCCGGCCTCTGGGTCGTGGTCGGTTTGAAGAAGACAGGCTTGGTCGTCGTTGTCGTCGTGGTGGTGGTCGTCGTCGCAGGCGGCCTAGTGGATGCCGGTTGCGTCGACGCGGGCCTCTTGGTCGTCGTGGTGCTGGGTCGAGTGGGCTTATTGGTCTGCGTCGGCCTTGGCCTAGTCGTTTGTGAAGTCTGTTGTGTTGTCTGCTGCAATGGCCTCTTGGTGCTGTTGGCCTGCGTGGATGACGGCCGCTGTGTTGTCGGTCGCTTCGTCGTCGGGGTAGCGGTCGGCTTAGGTCTAGGCTTGGTCGTGGCCGCCGAGGTTGTCGAGGAGGAGGTGGCGCCTGGCCGCGCGGTGGACGCCGTGGGCTTGGTGGACGACGGCCTCTTCGTGGTGGTGCCCGGCTTGGCGGAGGTGGGCTTGGTGGCGGGCCGCTTGGTGGGCGTGGTGGTGGGCCTCTTGGTGGGCGTTACCGTGCTCCCCGGCTTGCTCCCCGGCCTCTGCGTGGTCGGCCGGGTCGTGGCCGGGGCCTTGGTGGGGGAGGCCGCCGCCGGCTTGGCGGTGGGCTTGAAGGGCTTGTTGCCGCCGTCCTGGACGGACTGGAACGTGGACAACAAGAAGGACTGCTCCGTGGCGGCGGTCGGTGTCGTCGGAGCTGGCTGGGCCGACGACGGCGCGCCGGGCCGGGCCAGTGGCAGTGGCGTGGACAGCGGCGGGTTCTGCAGGATGACGCTCACGTAGCCCGCCGTCGGCCCGGGCGCCGCCGTGCTGTGGAACACGTGGTCGATGTGGTTCTCGCTGGGGACCTGCCCCGTCGGAGGCCGCGGTGACGGCAGTCTTGGTGGCGGCGGGGCCGGCGCGGCCACGGCCGGGCGGCCGGGGATGTCGCCAGCGCTCGGTGCGGAGCCTCCAGAGTGCAGAGAGACCTGCCAACAGGTAGACAGCGTTAGATGCAGGCTGATGCGTACCGAGCTTCAAGTAAGTAACATCAACATCAATAACAAACTGACCTGTCAGTCAGTTCGGTCTGCTCACCTGGTTACTTATGACGTTGTCGTTGGGCGACAGCGAGTCCAGCACATCCTGGTCCACCTTGCAGCATGACCCGAAGTAGAAGCGGTCAATGCACGTGCCCAGGTGCGTGCCGTTGGCCTTCATGCACGTGTACGCGAACATGCACACGCCCGTCTCGCCCGAGCGCCGCGACACGCACGGCAGGTGTCGGATGTTGCGCCCCGACGTCACGCCTGCAAGCAAACACCAACGAATTATAGCACTCACAACACATTTTTTTCTTTCGCAGAGACGCTCAAAAGGACACGCTGCGTGGCACATGTTTACTCTCTCCCGCGCGCCTCAAAAAAGTGCAAAAAGTGGAAAAATGTCCCCGCGACATGCTCGCCAGCGCATCAAAGTCCTTCCAGCCCCGCCAGCCCCGCCGGCCCCCTCATCAGTGGAATAATGATGACTCTCGCTGCGCTGCTGCCGTCGTGCCGCGCACTTGCGTCTGCCTGCAGTGCGGGGTGCGGGGCGGGGCGGGGCGGGGCGGGGCACACTGAGGGTCCTTTGTTGCCCCGCCACAATGCAAAGTGGCAGCATTCGCACCTCGCGGTCCTCGCGGAGCCTCGCGGCTCGAGGGGCCCAGACAATCGGCGCCCTCGCCCTGCGCCCTTGCAGCCTGCAGCCCGGCCTGCGGCGCGCTCGCTGTGGTGGACGCCGTCCGCATGTCCGGGAGAACCCGGCAGGGCGCCGCCACACAGTGGGCCAGAAGACCGGTGGAGGCGGCCAAAACTTTAGACGCGTTTTGAGCAGCAGGGTTGCTAAACAGGACTCGAAGCGAACGTGTGACCCCACCAATGGATTCCTCGTTCGGAGAGCAATCCATTGGTGGGGTCACACCTCGGGTCACACGTTCGCTTCGAGTCCCATTTAGCGACTGGAGCTCAAAACGCGTCTAGACTTTTGGCCGCCTCCACCGGTCTTCTGGCCCACTGTGCGCCAACGGCCGCCCCTCCGCCAGGGAGCGCGGAGGTAAAGTCCGGGTCGTTCCGCCGGCGGCGGCAGGGCGGGCAGGGTGCGACTTGGCCGGACTTCGGGGTACTCCGGGGGAGTGGCGTGCTTGCGTGCGCCCGTTGACGCACGGCATGACGCGACTCTAGACGCGACCGACGCGGGCAGGGCAGGGCATGGCAGGGCAGGGCATGGCATGGCATGGCATGGCATGGCAGGGCAGGGCAGGGCAGGCATGGCATGGCATGGCATGGCACGGCAGGTCGAGCCACGCAACCCGCCGTGCAGGACTTCCCGACGAGCGCCATACGGCCCGGCGGCCCGGCCCATGATTCGCAGTTTACAGTGCGGGAGAAACAGGCGGGGCAGGGGGCGTTGAATTGACGGTGACCAATGATGCAGGTAGAGGCGTCGGCCCGGCCGGCCGAGCCGGGCCCCCATGCGCGCAACCACCATTTAACGCGTGATTACCTGCCTTTGGCGCCGTGGAGGTGCAGGAAAACGGGGATGGGGGGGGGGGCTGAGTGAGGAAAGGGACCGCCGCACCGCCATCCAGATCAAGCCGGTGGTCGCGGCCGGCCGGTCGGCCTGACAGGAGCAGAGCGTAACACTGCGGTTGGGGCTGGAGGGGCCGGCGGGGGAGTGGAAGACGACGGCCAGGTTGATGACCTCGGCGATGATGCCGTCCGCACCGCGCCGCCGCGCCGCGCCTCCGCACGCCATCCCATCCCGCGACCTCTCGGCGTCTCGCTCCTCGCTGTCTCACTCCACCTCATTCTGCTTGCAGCGGCGCAATTAAAGCGGCGTCCGTCTGCAGACTGATTCCGAACAGCCACCTCCACTGAAAAACCAAACGTACTCCAGACCGCACCACTGGTGTGGTCAGATGGATGCCATTTTGACCACAGCAGATGGTGTGGTCTAGACCACGTTTGGCCACGTTTGGTGCGGTCTAGACCACGTTTGGCCACGTTTGGTGTGGTCTAGACCACGTTTGGCCGCGTTTGGTGCGGTCTAGACCACGTTTGGCCACGTTTGGTGCGGTCTAAACCACGTTTGGTCACGTTTGATGCGGTCTAGACCACGTTTGGCCACGTTTGGTGCGGCCTAGACCACGTTTGGCCACGTTTGGTGTGGTCTAGACCACACCAAACGCACCAAACGTGCTCAAGACCACACCAAACGCACCAAACGTGGTCTAGACCACACCAACTGATGTGGTCAAAATGGCACCCATTTGACCACACCAGTTGGTGCGGTCTAGACCACGTTTAGTTTTTCAGTGTCGCCGCACTGTCTCTCTCGCACTCATGGGGGCGTCCCGCGGGTCCGAACTCGAGATTTTTCTGTTCGTACACTGGATTTTATTCATTTCATGTTATCACTCTGCTTTTCCAGCTGTATGAATTCGCGTTTTTCTTTTCCGTTTCTTTTCCGGTTGCCCCTTGACGAAGACGGTTATCTATTCCGCTGCATTCTGTTCCCGATGACGCAATCTGAATAATAGGAAAGGGTTTGGGCCGGCTGCTGGCGCGGCAGATGGTGGAGCAGGGCCGGCGGCAGGGCGGCAGCGAGGGCGAGGTGTTGTAATGATTACGGCCCAAGTTCGCCTTCGGCCTTCGCCCGGCCGCCGGCCCGACCCGAAATCACCAACCCTTCCGCGGTGTAACGGGACCCTCCCCGTCAGACCGACCCGCGCCGCTCGCACTCCACCTGCACTGTGCTGCCGGCTGCGGCCGCCCTGCATCCGCACAGCCTCATCGATGCGGCGAGGCACCTGCGTTCTTCCTCACACACACAAGCACACGCGCAACGCGCACACCCAACGCACACACTTTCCTTTCCGATACGATCCGTCGATGAAAAGTAGATCGTGCGGACGCAAGCGACTCGTAAGTCGAGGGGCGTGGCGGCGCGGCTCGGCGGGGCTCCCGCGGTGCGACCTATCGACTATCGACTCGACTTTCCTCTGTGAGTCACGCGGCCCGGCCCGGATCGGCTCCAGATCCATAGAGTGTAGTGCCGCGGCCGCGCCCAGCGCGTGTCACTTTCCCCCTCGACAAACGGCCGCGGCCGGCCACGGGCCCCGTGACCCGGCTGGGCCGACTGGCCGACTGAGGTTTGCCGTTTGAGGCATTTTTTTTAAGAAGTCCGATCGTGGAACACGACCGATGCCGATTTCCTCCATTTTTTGGTCAAAGGTAGTCCTTGTGGGTCTAAGAAAGGCCACAAATTTTTTGGGCCGAAATATGCACCGTTCAGATTCTATGGACAATTTTCGTTTTCTCTGACAACTTTTCACATAATATGGCCAAAATTGAAAAATCACCTTTCTGAGGCCTCTATGCACTCGATTGAGCTCAAAATGTGGTATCTTATGTAAAATCACGCGAGGAACACGAATCCGGTGCCCGTTTGTTGATAGGACAACCCAAACAGATGTTATGACTGTTTTTCAGGTTTTGTAGTGGTTTTTACTTTTCTTGGGGTTTTGGTGTTCGGCATCGATTTTCGCCAATCCGATGAGTGGATTTTATAGATAAAGGACCAATCTATCATACTACGAGATAAAAAGTTTGTGTACGCCGCGTGAAAAGCAGTGGCGCTGCAAAAATTGAAAAACCGTCATTTCTGGGTAGTTTTAGATCAGATAAGCCACCTTTCGCGTGACCGTCTCCGCCCCATATTCAGTCTAAATATTGTCCCAAGTGATGTCAGAGTTGGTGTGAAATTTCACCGCTGTAGCTCAAGTAGTTTGGAAATGGCAGCTTTCTAAAGTTTTGCAATCACGTAAGGCATTTACTTTAAGTAGAATTGCGGTAAATGTGAAGACTTGTCACAGATCGGGTAATAAATGAGATAGATGAGTGCGTCAAAGTTCTCTAGGCGTAATTTTGGACAAGGAATCCGATTTTGCCGGTACGAAGGCCCTAGGTGTACTCTAAAGCTACGTTTTCGTGCAAACCACATAAAAATGGCCTTTTTTCCAACTTCAGAGTTCGCCTAGGGTCTTCGTACCTGCAAAATCAGGTTCCTTGTCCAAAATTACGCTTAAAAAACTTTGACGCACTCATCTATCTCATTTATTACCCGATCTGTGACGAGTCTTCACATTTACCGCAATTCTACTTAAAGTAAATGCCTTACGTGATTGCAAAACTTCAGAAAGCTGCCATTTCCAAACTACTTGAGCTACAGCGGTGAAATTTCACACCAACTCTGACATCACTTGGGACAATATTTAGACTGAATATGGGGCGGAGACGGTCACGCGAAAGGTGGCTTATCTGATCTAAAACTACCCAGAAATGACGGTTTTTCAATTTTTGCAGCGCCACTGCTTTTCACGCGGCGTACACAAACTTTTTATCTCGTAGTATGATAGATTGGTCCTTTATCTATAAAATCCACTCATCGGATTGGCGAAAATCGATGCCGAACACCAAAACCCCAAGAAAAGTAAAAACCTCTACAAAACCTGAAAAACAGTCATAACATCTGTTTGGGTTGTCCTATCAACAAACAGGCACCGGATTCGTGTTCCTCGCGTGATTTTACATAAGATACCACATTTTGAGCTCAATCGAGTGCATAGAGGCCTCAGAAAGGTGATTTTTCAATTTTGGCCATATTATGTGAAAAGTTGTCAGAGAAAACGAAAATTGTCCATAGAATCTGAACGGTGCATATTTCGGCCCAAAAAATTTGTGGCCTTTCTTAGACCCACAAGGACTACCTTTGACCAAAAAATGGAGGAAATCGGCATCGGTCGTGTTCCACGATCGGACTTCTTAAAAAAAATGCCTCTTTGACACTTGGAGACGCGTGGGCGAGCTGGGAGCGCACAGTGGGCCAGAAGACCGGCGCCGGCGGCCAAAACCCCAGACGCGTTTTGAGCTCCAGAGTCGCTAAACGGGGCTCGAACCGAACGTGTGACCCCACCAATGGATTCCTCGTGCGGAGAGCAAGCCATTGGTGGGGTCACACGCTCGGTTCGAGTCCCATTTAGCGACTCTGGAGCTCAAGACGCGTCCGGGGTTTTGGCCGCCTCCACCGGTCTTCTGGCCCACTGTGGAGCGCCGCGGCCGGGGAGAGCCAACCTAGGGACGGCAAACTCTCGGTGGGCGGCAGTGAGCGTTGCGAGAAAGAAGAGAGTTCAGGAGTCACATTGAAAATCGAAGTTATCCTGTGCGTTCCGCATCCCTCCAAACAGTAACGCTTGCCATGTGCGAAAGAGAGACGCCGCAGACGTTTGAAGTTGTTGCACTTTGTTAGGTTGGCACCCTTTGGTTCCGGCCGCGCTTGCGCTTGGAAAATACTGCCTGGCTTTCGTGGCGACTTTGGAAGGCGCTGTCGTCGCCTCATTGCCTGGGGAAAGAGTCTCGCCGCGGCGGCGGCAAAAGCGCGGCGAATGCCGGCCAGGTCTGCCTCGCTGCGTCCATCCTTCCATCCGCCGCGCGCAACCGCCGCACCACCGCGCGCGTCACTATGAGAAATCTATCCGCCATTTACCTCGGCTGAATTCCAAGCCAAACTCAATTATGACTTCCGCCGGCGAGAGCGTGGAGACATCGGAGACATCGAAGACGTCGGAGACATCGGCCTGCTTCTGCTGGCCGCGGCCCTCGGCCCTCGGCGGCCTCGGCTCCGGCGGCAACCCACTTCCACACCGTCATGACGTCCAGGCTTCCAGGCACCTCCAGGCGTCCGGACAGACACTCTACACAAAGGTGGGCCCGATGATGTCCTTGAGGCGCCAGTGACCTGGAGACCCAGACTCCCTCCCCCCACCTTTCCATCCAGCGGGACCGCCGCCTGTTGGCCCACGCACACACACTCTAAATGTCGATGACCTGATGCTGCAGCCCTGCAGTGCCCGGCCGCCCCGCACCACTGCCGCGTCTCCGCGGATCCGTGCAGCAGCAGGAATGTCGCATCATTTTTCTTTCCTTCGGCGACGTCCTCCCCCTCCGCTAGACCGGAATCTAGGATCCTGGCGCGAAAACAAGAGTGGCTTTGAAAGCAGCGCTGATACGCCGCGGTGCGTCAGGGGGCGGGGGCGGGGGAGGGGGCGGGGGTGGAGGCGGCGCCGGCCGCTGCAACGGGACGACGGGCCGCGGGGCCGCGCGGCCTCGCCGGCTGGCTTTTCGTTTCAAAGTCATAGAGCAGGCGGAGCAGGCCGCAGGCAATTACCGAGGGACCTGGGCAAAGACCGTTATTATTGCGTCAGGACCACCGAAAAAAATAAAAAATAAAAACGAAGCGCCGAGGTCGGGATTTGAATCCGGGTCCGCCAAAAGGCATGCATACTAAAAGGGCCGACAACGTGCGTGGAAACAGGAACAGCGCGTGCTTCCCTGTGCTTCCCTGCGCGTCCCTGCGCGTCCCTGCGGTCCGCGGGACGGGATGAGGAGAGCGCTTCCCGAGGGAACGCGGCGGACGGCCGGCCGGCCCGGTCGGGCACGCCGCGGACGGGGCACGCCACGGACGGCACGGCCAGGTCCGCAAAGCAGACTCACTACTTCACCTCCGCGCGGCGCAGCGCGGCGCCGGTTGACCCGCCCTACATAAGTCGCCGCTCGCCGCCACGCCGCGCACGCCCCGCCCCGCCCCGCCCCGCCCCGCCCCGCCCGCGCCCCGTGTCACTCCGTATTGTTAGCGCCGCGCACCTCGCCGCCGAGGCACTCCCATTATTTGCATTATCTGATGCACGCCGATCAGGAGGCCGGCCTGACCCAGAGACCGCGCCGCACCGCGCCGCAACAACAACATCCTCTGCAGCGCCACCACCACCACCAACCGCAACAGCAGCAACGCAGTCTCATCTTCATAAACTCCCGGCGCGCCGCCCCGCACAGCCCGGGCATCCCGCGCACAGCCCCCAGGGGACCACTTGGCGGGGCTTGGCGCGGCGCTTCCTCTTCGCGGTGCTGCGCCTCGCGGCGACGCCCGGCCTGTGGCGACGGCCTGCGGCTTCCCGGCGGTGACGCCGCAACGACGCCCCGTCCAGCACCTCGGCGTCGTCGCGGCGTCGTGGCGATTGACTGCGCGGCGGCGCGGCGTTTGTTTGAGGCCGCGCCGGACTGTCACTTCCTTGTCGCCGTCGTCGTCGCCGAGCTGAGTCACGAGCACGCGGCCCCTGCCTGCGCCTTGGCACCCGCCACGCCCCGGCTTTTGGCAGCTCGGCGGCGAAAGCATTTCACCAGCGGCCCCCTCCTGGACCGCGTGTGTGCGCGAGCCGGCGTGCGCGGGCGGGCTATGGCGGCCCGAGAACAGTGACTCAGCCGCCGGACCGATTCCGAACAGTGGTTCCGTCGCTCCGCCTCACACGCACTCGCGGGCATCCCGTGTGGGTGCGAGAGAGACGGCACGGCCTGCTGCTTGGCCCGGGCCAACGGTGCCTGCGCGACGGGGGCGCAGGCGCGAGCAGGCGCGAGTCAGGTGTGTCCCGAGACTCCCTGGGGCCGACGATGCCGCCGACCAAGACTTCATTCCGAGCCGCCACTCCCGCGCTCGCAGGCCCCGGGCCTCGCCCCAGGCACCCCGCCCGCGCACCGCGATCCCCCCAGTGTGTGTCCGTTTTTATTTATTGTCGTTGTTTCATTCATTTTCATTTTGCATTTCGAATAGGGGCCCTTTCGTCCCTTCGTGTATCGCAGCCCGTAGTTCACCGCGCGTCTGTATGCAAAACGAACCTAACTGTAAACCCATCCGATCCCTGCGCGCGTCGTCCCCTCTTCCTCCCCCCTCCTTTAGGGGCTCTTCTCCTGCATCATCCCCCCCTCCCCTCCCCTGCCTCTCCGCTGTACCTAACCTGCCGGCCGGCAGCCGCTTGGAATGTGGGTCAAAAGCGGCACCTGAGTTAAGGAACCCGGCCTGTGGCCCCCACGGCCGGCCCGGCGCGGCCCCCGCTGCCCCGCCTTGTCCAGGACGCGCGGCGCGGCGGCGCGGCGGCTAGCTCACACGCAGGGCGGCGGCGTCCGTCCCGGGGCTGGTCCAGCGGCCGGACTCGGCTCGGACTCGGCCCAGGACGGTGATAACACCTATTTCTATGCGCGTCACGGCTCACAGCTCACGGCTACGAATGTCGGTTATTTATTTTCACTTTTAAGTGGCGGCGGCCCTGTGCTCTGTGGTCCTGTGCGGCGGGAGGGCCTCGGCGGCCGGCGGTGCCGTCCGGGTGCGGCGGCCCGCGATGAATGGCCCCATGAATGACGGAGTGCACCGGTCCGCCGCGTAGCCGCCTTGGTGGCCGCGCACGCCGCCGGCGCACCGTTGCACCGCGAGGACAGGTGCATGACACTCGTGTGTGAGAACGCCGCGCTGTGTCCGTTCCCCCGGCCGGCCCGGCAGGCCTGCTGCGATTTAGCCGCCGTTTTCTGCTCGTTTGGACGCGCCTTCCCACTGCGATGCACCAGTCTACCGCCACGCGGGCCTCGGCAGGCCCGCGCGATTATGCGGCATTTCTTCCCGGACCCTGGAACGCTCTTCGGACGCCGGCCCACGCCGCCGGGTTTGTAGATCTGAATACGGGGCGCCGCGTGGCGGTCCTGCGGCCCTGCGACACCTCGAACAATGGCGCCTTTGAGCCCTCGGGCTGGGTAAGGCCGGCCGAAGATGCTGCCGATTCATGATTCATGAGGTTCACGGGCGTGCGCCTTGGTGCGCGCCGTTCACGCCCGGCAAAGGGACACCGCGGCGCGCCGCATGGACACCGCGCTGCTCGGCTGCTGCGCCGGACGGGCCTAACCAAACGCGCGCGCCACCGAGCCTTGCCGCCATGCCGTTAGTTTTCGTCGCCACAGCGCGCGGCGGCCACGTCCACGCCGAGACACTGCCAGGGAAAACGGGCGCTCGGGCTTGGCGGCATCGCCGCCACCAGCGATCAACGATTTTGAACTGCGTCTTGGCCGCTCCGCGAACGAGAGCGCTCACTGTAGCAACGTCTGCGCCGTCGTCCTGTTTCCTTGAGAAACTTCAGCATGGGTGACACGCGGTGTGGCGTCGTGCTATTGGCGTCGTCCTGGCCGTTGTCCGTGGCGGCGTGCCGCGGCGTGCCGTGCAGTGCCGTGGCGGCTGGGATTACAGCCGTACTACGGCAGTTTGCCGACAACGGCGGCCAAGAGCACGGCGCTATGTCAGCCGGTTGGGTTTGGGCCGTGTGGGAAAAGTCGGCGAACAGTTAGTCCGGCGTGTGAGCCAGGCCTCCGGCCGTCCGGGAGGCGGAGCAGAACCGCAACAAAACCACACGACGGAGTCCACGAGGAGCCCGGCAGGGCGGCGTCGCGGAGTCCGGGCGGTCCTGGTGGCTCCCCGCTCCTCAACGCGATGACAGCACCGGCCGGCCTGGCGGGACCTGGCGGGGCCTGCCGGACTCTCCCGAATCCCGTTGGATAACGACACGGGCGGTCCGGGCGGGCCAGCCAGCGCCGCAACGCGGCCCGGCCGCAGCGTGGGTAGGGTTACATCCGACTGCCGGACTGACTGGGACTGGGCGGGGTGGCCCCGCACAGGACTAGGACCCAGGCCGCGGTAGGCCGCGGGCCCTGCGCCGCCGATGGGCGGGCAGGGCGTTTCGGTTTCATCGGCGGGACGGGTCCCGAGGCACGGGGCGCGTGGCCGTTCAACACGCAACATTGCGCAACGCCCCGTAACTTGACATTGCCACCTTGGGTTACGAATCGGAAAGCCGAGATCCGGGGGACGAGCTCACCTGAGAGGAACTGCTGGTTCCAGACGGGGCCGGTGGCCAGGCCGGTGGCCGCGCCCATGGCGACCTGCAGGGCGCCGAGGGCCAGCAGCGCCAGCCCCAGCGCCAGCGGCGCCAGCGGGGCCGTGGGGTGCACGGCGGGGGCGGGGCCCCACGGCGGGGGCGGCCGGCCGGCGGGCTGCGGGGACCGGCTGCGGCGGCGCATCACGCTCACGTGCTGGAGGGGGGCGGCGCGGAGGGGGCGGCGTCGCGCGGCATCAACGCCACAGGGATGGAGGGCCTGCAACAACAAACAAACACGCACGTTTTATCCAGTGTCGCACCGCATCGATCCGCATATCGCTTCCAGCGCGGCTCGCCCGGCCAGCCGCCGGTCCATCGGCGCGCCTCCCACGAGTTCGTCGCCACCGCGGCACGCGCGCCACGCCCGCGGCGACGGACAAGCCCTGCGTGGAACATGGCGCTGCAGGCGCTGGCGTGTCACTGTACCCGTCGCCTCAAACTCAACAACAAAAACACTCCTCTTTTTTCCGAAGGATTTTCCCGCGACCCGTACTGCTCCCGTAATGTATTCCCTGCACTGCCTTCCTTCCCGCGCTGCGCCGCGCCGGGGCCGCGGCAGGCGAGCCGCTGTCCTAGTTATTTGATAGAGAGCCCATGAGATGGCCGGGACCGGGCCGCCGCCACGCCACGCCGCCGCGCCGACCAGCGCCGGCCAGCGGCGGGATAACGGAACGGGGAGCAGCCCAAGTAGCTCCTGGAGGGGGCACTGGGGGTACCCGGTGCCTGTGTGTGCCCACCTGTGCCCACCTGCGCCCACCTGTGCCTCCGGCGCGTCAAACGCCATTGATGGGGTTATGACGGCGATGATTGCCTCGGGCAGCCGGGACCGACCTCCCCCGCAGGACCCCACACTTTTTATTTAGATCGGCGAAACGAGTTGTGTGGCCCCTCGCAGCGAAAAATGCAATCAAAAAATGGAAGGAGAGGGAGGGAGAGGAGGATGTGGCTATGCATTATTGCATGCATGGCCGTCGTCGTGCTCCGTTCCTTAACAAGAAGCGCACACCATTGCCATTAGTCGTGCCGCCGGCAGCAGGCAAGAGGCAAGCAAGCCAGCCAGGCAAGAGGCAGGCAAGAGGCACGCAGGCAAGAGGCAAGCAGGAGGCAAGCAGGCAAGAGGCAAGCAAGAGGCAAGCAAGAGGCAAGCAGGCAAGAGGCAAGCAGGCAAGAGGCAAGCAGGAGGAAAGCAGGCAAGCAGGCAAGAGGAAAGCAAGAGGCAAGCAGGCAAGCAGGCAAGAGGCACACAGGAACGGCAAGCAGGCAAGAGGAGGCAAGAGGCAAGCAGGCACAGTGAAGGAGGCAAAGCACAAGGGCAAGCAGGAACAAACGCAGCAAGCGCAAGAGAGCAAGCAAGGAAGCAGCAAGCAGGCAAGAGCAGAGGCAAGCAGGCAAGAGGCAAGCAAGAGGCAAGCAGGCAAGCAGGCAAGAAGCAAGCAAGAGGCCAGCAGGCCAGCCAGGGCGTCCAAAAACAACGACAGTCAGAATGCCGACCCTTTTTTGCGGTGTGCATTGCGTGCGTGCGCGTGTTTGTATGGCCAGCGTTCGTGGGATTGGCAGCTTTTTGCCAAAAAGAAGAAGGAGCAGGAGCGCGTGGAGCGCGATGGTGGACATGAGCCATAAAGCCCTCAAGTCTGCAGGCGTCTTCCTGGATGCCCCCCGCCTTCCTGCGACATGGGTGTCCACAGCGACAAAAACGACACACGACGAGCGGAAGGGGAGAATCTTACAAATGAATCGTTCAAGTCGTCCGTTTGTCAGGGGAAGGTAGGGGCCTGTCGTCGGCTCATCCAGACGGTGGCACTCGTTTGTTTGCAGTCGGCTGCTGTGAGTGCGTCGCCATGGCGTCGCCGTGGCGTTGCCATTCAACCCCTCGCAGTCTGATAACGAGGCAGAGGCACCCCGGGCCGACTGGGCCTCGGACTGGGCCTCGGACTGGGCCGACGGCGTCATTAAGGAAGCGGCGCGCAAAAAAAGCGGCCGGCTTGCAGCGGCGGCTTCACATTGCGATGAAAAACAAACGTAGTGCGGCCATTCCAGAGTCCCTCTGCCTCGCTCTGCTTATCGGCTCGCGGGAATCGCGCAGCGCTAATTGGCTTTTGTCCTCCCGCATTCCATATCGGCTTTATACGGTCAAATATTACGTACACCGCCATAGCGTGGCGCCACGCCGCGACGCGAGCATGGGGCAGTCCTCGAGTATGGATCTCTACCAAGCACTTGACGGTACCGATCGATTCCTCGTGCGCAGTGATCGACCGATGCCCCGTGTGTTCAACTCGAGTCCTTTTTGAGGACTGTGGAGCTCAAACCGCGACCCGCTTGCCAGAGTTTCAGCGTAACATCTATCTAGCGAAGGCTGGCAGACGTTCAAACACTTCTGCATTGCTTGGCCGACGTCATCCAGGGAACCTAACCTCGTTCCACGCCAGTCCAAGGCGGCTGACGGGGCTGTAAAAAGCGCTTAGGCGTTGCTTAGCGCCCATTGGCCATTACGTGCCGCCTTTTCTGGCGGGGTACGGGCAGCGCGGTCTGTGCTGCACGGGTTGCGCTGCAAGAGGTAGGTGACCGCTGGCTTGCCGGCTGGCTGCTGCCTGGCTGTGCCTGGCTGTGCGGCTGCCGTGGGGCGGGGCGGGGGGGGGGGGGACCACTTGCTCTCACCTTGACACTGCTGCGGGGCCCAAGAGCATCCCCCCCCCTTCTCTGTGCCTCGAGGCGCGATGGGTTGCTGCAGCCCGGCTGGTCCTAAGGCACGGCGGGGTCCGTGAAGCAGATCGAGTTTTACGCGTCAAGCCACAGCGACGCCGGCGCGTCTAGGATTTCCAGACTGCTCTCCGAGTCCCACTGGACTGGGTACGCGAAGCGCCTTAGCGGAGATTAACCGGCGCTTTGCGCGTTGGCTAGGCCGTTCCAGAGTGCCGAAGATGGATCAAGCGGCGCCCGAGTCAGGCCTGACGAGTGCTGCAGCGGCGGCAGCGGCCTGAGCATTCACTTATCGCACGCCGTTTGGCAGCGATTCAGATTGAGATTGATTAAGCGCAGGGTGATCCTGGCCGGCCGGCGCGTCCATCCTCGCGTCCATCCTCGCGTCCATCCTCGCGTCCATCCTCGCGTCCATCCTCGCGTCCATCCTCGCGTCCATCCTCGCGTCCATCCTCGCGTCCATCCTCGCGTCCATCCTCGCGTCCATCCTCGCGTCCATCCTCGCGTCCATCCTCACGTCCATCCTCGCGTCCATCCTCGCGTCCAGCCGATCCTCGGCCGACAGGAAAATGAACGTCCGGCCGCTGCAGCGAGCTGGAGCCCCGGCACCGCCACTGGAGCGCACTGGAGCCCGGCCGCTGGACAGGCAAAAGGAAGAATCTGCCTGGCAGCAGTGCAGCCGGGCACTAGACGAGCGGCAGTGCAGGCACACAATCGCCCCGCTGCCAGCCCTGCCCTGCCCGCCCTGCCAGCCGTCAAGGCCTGTCTGGCCGTCCGGCCGCGCGGGCCCTCTGGCTTTTGGCTGATCCGTAGAAGGGTGAAGGGCCGGGACGAGCGGCGCGGCCAGGCGGACCGAGTGCAGCCGAAGCCGGGAGGAGCCGAGCCGAGCCGAAGCAGTTCCAGGGTCGGCGCACTGAACTTGCAGACTGCTCATCCCAGGTCCAGTTCGACGCCCCGGGCAGCCCTGGGCAGCCCTGGGCACGGCCAGGCCCGAGCCCTGCCGGCCACTTACAGAGCCATCACGCTTTTCAGCAAAGCCAGGCGTAGCGCGGTCCCTCCAAAGCCTTTTTTATAAATCTTCTTTTTCCTTCGTGGGACGGACGGGGTGTCCGGCTTGGCGAGTGGGGCGTGTGACGAGGCAGAGTGGGAGGGAGAAAAAGGGAGGGGGAGGCGGGGGGAGTGGCCCGGAGGAAGGGAAGAGTTTCCGGAAAGTAACAGTACACATACCAGGGCAGAGTGGCCAAGGCAGTCAGTCCATGGATGCCACAGTTCCACTGAGAGATAAATACTCGCACGGAAACTCTGTTGTACGTAGTCTCTCGCGCCGCACAGCGGGCCAGAAGACCGGTGGAGGCGGCCAAAACTCTAGACGCGTTTTGAGCTCCAGAGTCGCTAAACAGGACTCGAACCGAACGTGTGACCCTACAAATGGCTTCCCCGTTCGGAGAGCAATCCATTGGTGGGGTCACACGTTCGCTTCGAGTCTCGTTTAGCGACTCTGGAGCTCAAAACGCGTCTAGAGTTTTGGCCGCCTCCACCGGTCTTCTGGCCCACTGTGCGGCGCTGGAGCTCGGTGCGCACGAGGGGCGCACGCACGCCCGGCCCCGTGACATCACGCCGAGGAACGGGCAGGCCGATTGGGCATCGGGCAGAGCGCCTGCCTCGTCTTCCTGAATCGTCGACGCCGTCAAGTACAAGGTTGTCACGAGCGTGTTGGCGCGAGCATGCATGGGTCGGCGCCTCTTGCCTCCTCTGCCTCCTCGGGCTCCAAAGACGCGCCAGCCGCCAGTGGAGGCACCAAGGCTGCGCTGCGGTCCAACTTCCCCGCCAGCATCCTGGTGGCGCCGCCTCTTTCCGTGTCTGCGACGTGTCGGCGTGGATCGCGGGTTCGAAGCCCTAACCCAACCGAGAGGACTCTATCCCCACGTGACGCGGCGGCTCTCCTCGCCCTTGAGAGCGCGGCCGATAACGTAACCCGGGCCAGGGCCTTGGCCAGGGCCATGGTTAGGGCGGCCAGAGTGAGAGTGGAATGCTCGAGATTGGGCGGCCCTGATTGGTCGGGGCGTCGGGACCAGGCCAAGGACTCCGTCATCGGGCGGCCCGTCGCTCATGCTCTCATCGGGCAGGGCAGACAGAGCAGCACAATGGCATCCGTGTTTCGGGTGCGAGCGCCTCGGAGCGCCTGCACTGCGGCCGAGGCCGTCCCGTCGAGCAGCGGGCCGCCGCGGGTGGCCTACCCTCGCAGGGGCTCTGGGCGCTGGCCGACGACGGACACGTGTACGTGGACACGGCGGCCCG